TCCCTTATGTTATTTTATCAATGAACGTGGCACTGGTATTACTGCTATTTCAACATTAATTTTGCGCATATTGAGTAAAATACTGTGGGCGAGGGAGCACGCACACATGCAATGACATTTTTACCAAGTCACTGACGCTATGCTATGCGAGTGCCGTGATGTGCCCGTTTGATTGATGCCAGAAGCTGCATAGCAGCACTAGCGCAGGTAGCGGTCATCACAATGGCCAAGCGACCAGGAGGACAATGCAATCTGAGGGACTTTAAAAAGACTAAAAATAACATTTCAGGTAAGTCAAGAGTCAGTAATCTTAGTCATTACTCATTACTTTAGTCACCAAAGGTGGAATAACAACTTAGTTTGGAGTTTAGCTACGTTTTTCTCTCGTGTTAGCTAGCTGGTAAGACTCCAAACTGTTGATGAAATGATACCACCAGCACCAGAAGAGCTGAAACCCCTGCTTCAAGCAGTGAACACTCTGGTCATCTCCACAGCTGAGTGTGAACGTGGGTTTAGTCAGATGAACATGTTAACCACAACTAGAAGCTCCCTAGAGGTAAAAAGCATGTCAGCCTTGCTTTTCATCAAGTGTGTTGGCCCTCCACTGAACAAGTTCAGACCAGATGTATATGTCAAGACTTGGCTTCAAAGCCATTGCTTAGCTAACTATCCGAAAGCAAGAGCCAGAAAAATTGAGACCAAAAAGCATGATTATGAAAATCTTTGGAAACTTCTATGAGATGGGGGAGAGTGGAGTAGGCAGCCATTGACACAATTGGTCCTATTTTGTATTATCTGTATAATCTTTTAATATATTTTCATATTTTGTAAACAATTTCAATTTGCACTTAATGCCCTGTTACCTGTTGTAACATTGGGAATGTTAACATAAAAGATTTGTATTTGAACTGCAAGAAAATGATGACGGATCAATTTTGTTCTAATTTCTTTCCTCAATTTTTTCATGAAGTGTTACATTTACATAATTATTTAATTAATCACGATACAAAATTAACCCTTTAGATACCAGTTTTGATCGTATACCAGTATCTGCTTTTAAAAAAAAATACACTATAATTCAATATTCTAAAAACAAATTTGACTTTATTATTAGTATCATCAGCTGATCCATCTGAATAATACATGAGGGACTGTTAACCTACAAGATTTGTACCATAGACTTCCATTATAACCACATTTTTTTATCCCCTCCCCCCTTTAAATTAAAGTGAAAAAAAGATTTTGCACTAATTGTCCTCTGCATTTGACCCTAAATGTTAGTGGTGCCATGGCAGCCCGGGGACCGACTCTAATTCTGAGGTGCCTTGGTCAAGAGCAATGTCAGGAGTATCTGAACATCCATAACATGCATGTTGTTTTAGGAGTATAATAATTATCTTTATGCTGGTTGGTCTCCCACCCTCTGCGGGTTATCAGCTAAAGTTATGTCCCCATATGATAAAATCCACCATCCCCCCTGATTTCTTTTTACAATTTGAGTACTGCTCCTAACCATTTCTTAAATGTGTTCTCAGTTTGTGTATAGTGCAAAATACACTTAAACACACTGTATTGTGTCTAAATTGATGAAATCCTCTTTATATTAAATATTAAATAGTTATTATTTGCACAAGTTAGATATTTCCTCAGTGGAAAACAATGAATGAAACACCATGGAGCAGTTTGTGTTTTAGGGTGGACTTTCACTGTATTTGCTGACAGAAGCAGAAAGTGGAAACTGAGAAATGTACAGAACAGGCGCGTGATGTAGTCATAAACATACACAGAGAACTTCCTGTACTGATCATTTACTCGTTTTATAAAGTTCACGTGCTCACTGTTTTTTTAACCCATAGTGTTTTCTTACTCACATTTGTTATTAAAGGTGTCGTTTCGTCTCCTTCGTCTCCTTCGTCTCTATCGCTGGTGACGCATTCCTGATATAAGTCTGGAGCTGAATCTTTATTGATGCTCATTTTCTTCTCTCAGAAACTCAGGGCACAAACTGCAAGACTTCTTATTCACGATAAAACTTCTTCCTATCAACTTCCCAGCTGCTGAATGTTGTTGTTTATAAAGTACGTCAGCTGCCTCTTTTCCGTCGCATTTGTTACGTCAGGAAAGAGACCGCCCAATCAGAGTGCGACTCTCCGTTAGTTTGACCAATCACCAGCCGGCACTGGTCGACCAGTGATGACGCAATCCAAGCATGCCTGAGAGCGGAGGATGTTGAGGTGAGCTCTCAATGTTACATTTCTTGAAAATAAAAGCATAATTACCGAGTATTTTAGCCGAAGCGGCTCTGTTTTGTTAAACCAACCACACAATTCACTCTTATTTTGTGTTTTATAACTTTCCTGCTGTCTAACCGCCACGTTTTATGTCATTTTAGGTCTCTATCCAGAGTCTTTTCCTATGTTCAATCTGAAAGAAACCTCAAATCTGCTGTGCTTCGTAGCCTCTGGTCTGCAGTCTCCGTTTGTTCTGATTTTTATTTGAAACCCACCATGGAGACTAAGCTTTACAAGCCCCCTCAAGAGGTCCGGGGTATGACCTCTCTCAACAAAGAGGCCTTTACACAGACCATCACTGTCCCGGCTCTACGGGTGCCCAATGGGGTCTTAAACAAAGTAGTTAAGAGCCTGAAAAAGGCAACCATCCAGCGCCCAGGGGTGCCCAGAGTAGTGCAAGATGAAGAAGGGAGTAGTGACTTTCGTTTAGTCCTGTTGGACCCCCACAGAATCTCCTCGCCAAGCTCCTTCAGTGAAGGTGAAGCCGAGGCTCTGAGGTCTTTCAGTGTGGTTCAGGAGCTGCGGCACTATGAGCTGCAGCTCACCTACCACAACCTGAAGAGTGATGAGGTGCTGGAGGCAGTGCTCCCCCCGGGTCAGGACGTCCCCTCTGGGTTCAGCCGGGTGGGACACATTGCACACTTTAACCTGCGGGACCACCAGCTCCCATACAAGAACCTTATAGGTGAGAGGAAGGTGTTGCAAGAGAATAAGGTCTTTTGTGCATTGTCAAAGATGCACAAGTCTCTAGAAATGTAATAATGTGATGAAACTAATTATTTAAAACAATATTCAGTGTTTTGATGATGGTGTCAAAGAATTTGGGAGATTTAAAGTTAGTGGCACATTTTAATGATTTATTTCTAACTTTGTGTCTGCTTCCATTGTAGGTCAAGTCATCATCGACAAAAACCCTGGTGTTACCTGTGTGGTCAATAAAACAAACATGATCGACACCACTTACCGCTACTTCAAGATGGAGGTGATGGCTGGGGAGGAGAACATGGTTGCCAAAGTAGGTTAAATCATAAATGTGCATATTCCACGTTAATGGTGTATTTGTAAATAAGAAAAATACTATCAATTTGAACAATAATGCTCTGATATGAGACCATTGACTGACAATTGATAAATCGTTGTCTCTGCTGCAGATAAAAGAAAACGGGGTGACATACGAGTTTGATTTTTCACTTGTCTACTGGAATCCCCGGCTGAGCACAGAGCACCAGCGCGTGGTGCAGCTCGTGAAACGCGGGGACACTGTGTTCGATGTGTTCGCCGGCGTCGGACCTTTCGCCGTCCCGGCTGCCCGCTCTGGAGCCAATGTTTTGGCCAACGATCTGAACCCAGAATCCCACAAGTGGCTGCAGCACAACTGCAAGCTCAACAAGGTGGAGAAGAAAGTCCGCACCTTTAACCTGGACGGCAGAGCCTTCATCCAGGGGCCCGTGAAGCAGGAGCTGCCTGTGCTGCTGAAGGGAAAGGCCAAGGTTCACATAGTGATGAACCTGCCTGCCCTGGCTCTGGACTTCCTGGATGCTTTCAGAGGTCTGTTGCCCCAGGAGCTTTCCTGTGACGAGAACCTTCCCACAGTGCATTGCTACGGCTTCTCTAAAGAAGACAACCCTGATACGGATGTGGTGAAGAGGGCCTCCTGTAGCCTCGGGTTCCCCCTGAAGGACAAGTGTTCTGTGCATTTTGTGCGTAATGTAGCACCCAACAAAGATATGCTCTGTTTGAGTTTCACCATCCCTAAAGAAGTCCTCTTCAGCGGTGATCAAGAAAAGACAGGTGAGTTAATTCATTCAACGGTGAGGACGTAATGACAAATTGATGATCACTTCAGGGGAAAAAACATTCAATTTCAACATGAACAAGAATACTATTTAAACATATAAACATAGAATGAGAGAGAACAATGTGCATCCCCAGTTCTCCAAGTGGTGATGGAGAGATGCAAGGACGACGTATTTGTTTGCCCTGGTTCGCTCCATAAAAAGCCAATAAGATTTTCCATTGGATTGTCTGTTTGCTTAATTTGTATATCATATTTGATATAAATACTCCCAAAGAAAAGCTGAAACAATGTCAGTTACTCAATAAACAACATCAAATGGCAACTCATTTGATAATCGGTTTATGGTTTGACACATTTTTCTAGCAAAAATGCCGGAAGATTTGTTTCCAACTTGTCAAATGTGAGCAATTTCCTTTTTTCAACTCAAAATTGAAACCTGTTTCTGGTTCTGATTTACAATAAATCAATGATGAAATTCATCTTTATTTGCAGCTCTCATTAAAGAGCATGTATGTATCTTATGTGTGCTGCATATGGGTCAAAGAATATTATGTGGAACTGTATAAACTGATTTTGTTTATCCACAGATCCTTCAGAAGAACCTGCTCCAAAGAGACAGAAGTGTGAAGAAGCCACGGATTCAACGTGATGATCGACCTGCCAATATTAGGAATACAAAACTACTTTTTAGTTGAGACATGTTACTTTTCTTTGTTTTTTGTTTTAAATCGGAGTTTAACTGATGCTTTAATAACAGATTATGTTGCATGTTGTCTCAGGAAATCATGTCCAATCTGTACTTCAATACATTTTGTTTCTACTTTAATGTATTAGAGCTATTATTATTCAAAGCTTGACCATACGTCAGGAGTTGTTTCACCTTTAAATAAAATTCACAAAAAATTGACAGCTTTTCATTGACGACTGATTTATGTAAATAAAAGATTAAAACAAAATATAAAAAAAGGTCATGTACACCCTTAACAAAAATCAGTCAGAGCAGCATTCAGCTCAGCAGCGCTGGCCTCTTTAGGGTGGCAGCGAGTGGCTTTTATTGTCCTTTTTATTGTCCTTTTGGTCACATCTATCTCCGGGCTCTGGATGTTCTCAGCGTTTGAAGACGAACATCCCACTGAAAGCGTCCTGAACAGCTCGGTGACAGGCCAAAGCTGAGGTGTATCCTCCAGCTGTGTCCTGAGGCATGGCAGCCCGCACGTGGTTCAGATACCTGAGAACACACACAGAGCTCTGGTCAGTAACAGCAGTGAGGTATTTTGTAAATAATGTGACTGACTGGCAGCCTGAGAGCAGTTTTCAAAAAGTAGTTCCTGTGAGTGTAACCCGAGCATACGGTTTTTCTTCATTAAATCCACACTTGAAGTTATTTTCTCTGGCTTTCCGCGACCCTTTGGCCCTTTTGATGAGATCAACGAAGACAGACGTACCCATACACAAACACTGGAACACCTTGTGCCTAAAAGCCTCTCCAACATTGCTCTATTAAAGTATTATGGGTGTCTTTTATTTTTTAAGTGCTTACAGATGTATCCTGCCAAAGCCCCTTTTCAGGTTCTTAAGCAAAGCCAAAAGTCACTGTTTATTTTCACATTCGTGCACAGACAGAAAAACAGTTGAGCTGTTAATTTAGTCCTCACATTGATAGAAGCCCCTCTACTTCTTCGCTGTGTTAGTATAAGGTGGGGTTGACCTGTGTCCCCCCTACCCACTCTAATCCTTCCTCTACTGTTGTGCCGTCAAAAAGTGGGCATTGGCAGAGAAACCCGCACACATGTTCTGTTCTCCAGCATCTTGACTACAAAGCTAAAACGGCAAAGTCCTCTAACAACGGAGACAACACGTAGCCTTGCCTGTCAATACTGCCGACCACCCGACCCCCCCCCCCCCCACACCACCCTGCAGAAATCAGAGTCCTGGCAGAAAGGACTAAAGCCCTCACACGAGTCTGGCTTTGTGGCCCCTGTTCCTGTGAGCCGGAGAAACTTCAAAGTAAAACGAGAATCAAGAGCACAGACAGCCCTCTGTGATTTCTGTGCCCATTCAAGCTGCTTTACAGAGTAACCCAACACCTGTGGGGAGGCAGAGAGAGATGGAGAGGGTTGAGGCATATGTGTGTGGGTGTGTGTAAATGAGAGATGGGACAGGGAGAAAAAAAAGGTGTCAGGGAGACTACATGCTGAATAGATCATATTTTGCTTTGGTGTTTTATGATTCTACGAGGTGCTTTGCTACACAATAAAGCCTTCACTGAAAATAAAAGTTAAACATATTCACTGGCATGACTGTGACATAAAGTCGAACATTTGCGAGTATCAGAAGGATGACCTTGTCTTGTCTTACAACAGACAGTGAAAGTGAGAGGAAGAGCAGCACGAGATGTCAATCAGGGCACTCATCACCCACTAGAGAAACGACACACAAGTTCAAAACAGGAGGCCCAGTGATTAATAATAACTTCATTAGGCCCAAGCTGCTGTAGCCTGTCCTTCAGAGCACTTGAGGGAGGTCTTCTCATATGGCTTCCTGCATCAGATGAGTGCTATCTATTGATTATATTGTACTGGGCCTTTTTAATGGTGAAAAAAGTGGGCTATTTACAGCCCGGCTAAGTCTGCTCTTCCTGCTAATCTAATCCCCAAGCTACTCATGTGGTCATTCCTTCCAAGAAAGCTGAGAGCTCTGTGTAACTTTATACCTGCCTGCCCCTAAGGAGCCAGAGAGAGGGAGCAAAAAAGAGAACATGAAGGAGAGGGGGGAGGAGGAGGAGAGGAGGAGGAGGGGGAGGGGTGGAGGGGAGTGGGAAGTGGAAAGGAGGGAGGATATGAGGTGAAATCACCTTTGGGTATCATCATCACAAACCCTCTTCTCTTAAACCAACCCTGTCTGCCCTCTGCTCACCCCTAACACCCGAGGTTAGTTCAGTTCTGCTCCATTAACTCAGCGGTCATATCCGCATCTTCCTGTAAGGGCCGGCCGCGTACATGTACAAGCACAGGACCGGCTGTAGAGGAAGCGGAAAGATAAACTTGACTCCTTTCACATGACTGTACTTGACAATGCTGAAACATTAAGAGTGGACTGACAACACACTAGACGTGCAACAGCATGAACTGCGTTTACATTTGGAGCACACTAGTCTGCTGAAACACGAAGTCACTTGACACTGCCTTCAATCATAAAACGAGACGCAACTCACATGAAACCCCCCTGAAATGCTTCGAGACCCTCTGACGCTACTGTTTCAGTGTGCACTCCCCGTCTCCACACCCTCCCACCCTGTAACCCCCCCCCCCCCCCCCTCTCTCCCTTTCTCTCAAAGGACTGGACTGCCTTTTGTTCGCAGGGCCCTGAAACCCAAGCCGTGTCGGCCGGTAACATCTTTCACTCTCCGGGCCCCACCAGAGCATTAGCTGCAACTCGATATGGGTCTTTTCAAAGCCTCGTATTATTGGGTAAATATGGGTCACTTTGGACTGGCCCATTATGTCGCTTGGGGGGGGGGGAGTGGGAAAAGACGAGTGCAGGTGATGAACAACTGAATGACACAGTATGACAGTGTGCGTGTCAGACTGCAGTTGCCACAAGGGAATATGACAGGGGTTTTCCATGAGTATACACACCCAAAAGGAGTGATATATGTTTTGCCAGATTTTTTTCTCACATGAACATCTCAGCATAAATCTCAAATTTAGATATTCCCAAACGCATAATAGATGATAAAGTACTTGCAATATTCTTCAACTTCTACTCATACCATCTGTTGTTAACGCTGTCTTTTAAAAAAAAAAAGGCATGTGGATCAACATTTTTCAGAGACAGCAGTATTTTTCCACTTGTGTCTAGAGCTCTGAATACCTGCGCAATGTCTCCTGCTAATGCTAATAACGGTTAGAGATTTTCCTGACTGGACCCCAGAAGTATTCCCCACTCCGGCTGCCTGGAAAACGCAGCGCAGCCGCATCCCTAATTCAAAGTGAAAAGATAAGTGGCGAAATGTTCCAGCGGGGTTCTGCGTGATTTCCAGCTGAGAATGTGTGGCTCCTCTGTGTTTGGATCGACGATGCTGCTGCGGAACGGCGGGTGTTTGGGCTCTTCAGGGAAATAGCTGTGAGGTTGGGACTCAGGAGGGAAAACGGCCGATATCAGAGGGAGGTGCAGGCTTTGTTGGGCCTCTTGTCTAGACTCCATGTGTTGGCTGGAATTGGATTAAGAAGAGCTGTGGAAGCGCAGGCTGGATGGAAAAGAAAAGAGGCCTGTAATTCTACAAGTCTATTGCAGCAAGCAGACACTTAATCAACATACAAACCACAGAGCAGGCGCACGGGACAATGGAGCAATCTGAATCAGTCCTAAACAACGCTAACTGTAGAATAACTGGATGTGGTTTGGCTGCTTTCATACTTAAAGACTTAGCTCAAAGATGCTAAACTGGCTGCTTCAACAGAAACATTGCTATCTGAATGAGTTGAATTTATAAGCTCCATGCTGCTCTCACGTTTTCCTTCAAAACCCTGACCCGAGACTGGGCCTAAGCTTGGCACCTGTCCACTCTTGCAACCCTTACTGATCCAGGGTCAGCATTTGTTTGACTTCACATAAGATGAGAGGCTGTTTTAATTCAGCTTGTCGTCAGCATGATTCATGACCCACACAGTGTAAGCTGACTTCCAGGCAGTTGTTGAGATGAACTCTGGATTCAGTTCAATCAACACTGGAAAGATACATCAATAAATCCAAACCTACCTGAGAGCGCTCCAAGGACTGAAGTCTCATTAGCTATGTTTATTAAAGCGAAGGAGCTTAGACTGTAGTGTTGAGTGCACAAACGAGGGCAGCTGACAAGCACAGGGCAGGCTATATCTGAGCAGAGCTGCCCCATGCTTCTGTGAGGCCAGTCATGAGGCTGCTGGATGGCAGCGTGAATGTCCGGAAGTCTTCCTTTAACGCTCTGCTCCAGCTCCAGCAGCGGTTGAGGATTCCTGGCCTGGAAATGATGGGGGCTGAAGGGGGGGGGGGGAGGCAGAGCCACACACCTGCCAGATGATTTGTCATTATAGAGGGGTCAGCACTCAGCTGTCACCCCCTAATCACCCATCCTACCCCTTAAGTCAGCCCCCCTTTACCCCCCAAACTCCACTCCAGTCCTCCAAAAACACCCCCTGCATTCCTAAGGCAGATCCGGTTACACTCACAGCACTGCTGCCCCTCCTTCCTACACTCTGCCCTGAGAGAAAATGTACCCCTGTGAGAGACACAGCACACTGAGCACATTGTGTGGATGTGCGATGTGTGCTTATGCCCCCCCCATGTGTGTCTACACAATTCCAAGTGTGTGAATACATGTTTTTGTAAGGGCAAAGCTGTTTGTATCGATACTGATGGTGAAACCGACGGAGCAGAATTTTACCAGCACGGGACGTGTGAATTGGTCCAGGCTGCAGTCCAGAAACAAAACCCCCTGCAGACAAGCCAAACACAGAGGACTCTCACAGGTATACTATATCTGTCAACAGCGGTCTTTCATCACCACAGGTCAGAGGTCACACTCCTTTCCATTGAGTGCAGCTTCCTCTGGGACGTGCGAGTGTGTGAGACAGATCCTCAGCCATCAGCCTACCCACTGTCCACCAGATTATCTCAAGTTGTGAGTGCGTCTGAGGGGAGCTCGGTGCGGTTACATCATATCCTCACGAGCCTACAGACCCCTTATCCATTATCGTGATTCTTATCATTACCACCGACAGACTCTGCATCCAGAAAGCAAGGAGGAGCGGGACATGGGTGTAGCTAACACTTAGTTAAGAGGAGAACATGTTTAGAGTGTTAACAGAAGCTTTGGGTGACACTTGACTTTAACACTTATAGGAATACACACTCATTTAGGGGACTGACAATCTGTAAGATGTCAGCTCGTTGTATCAGTGATAAAGACTAAGAGGTACACTTGTTTTGTGTCTATGAAAGACAGCATTGTGGAGGTGCCCACGAGAAAGGCCTATTGTGCCCAAATTCCACTTCCTGGTCCCAGCGTCACCTGTCACTACTCATCCAGGGCTCTCATGTGTGTCGGCCTGCACCTCCTCTGTGTGGCCTGATGGGGGCAGTAGAGGCCGACTGACTGCACCTAACCGCAGCAGCCATGGGGCTTGGAGAGGCATCACACATCCCGCTGGCCACTTGATACAGAGAGCATCTTTCTTTCGTCTCCTG